TTAAATGCAGATTTAATATTTCTCTCTTTAAAAGCACTAAATCAGTTCTAAAGGGGTAGTTATACCAAGCCATTCATGTGTACCTTACCGCCCGCCCCCCCTTTTTTTCTTTTCCTTTATTGATTTTAGAGAGAAAGGGAGAGGAAAAGAGATAGAAACATCAACAAGAGAGTAATTGATAGCTGCCTCCTGCATGCCCCCTACTGGGGATCGAGCCAGCAACCCGGGTGTGTAGCCTGGCCAGGAACTGAGCCAGTGACCTTAGTTCCTGAGTTGACCCTCAACTGCTGAGCCACACTGGCCAGGCACTCATGTGGTTCTCTATCAGCCATTTCCTCAAGTAACCAAGAGGCAGGTTAAGTGGCATACAGTATTTTCTGACCGTGTCCCCAGAAAACACCTCAATTTGTCATTTCCCATGTAGGCCTTGTTGGCCCTATCCTGCAGTGACATCTGAGACCAGCATGCTGTCAGCGCCAAACCTATTTGAACTGAGGCCACACATTTGTGAATCTACCTGAATAAGTGGTCTCAGACAAAACACTTTTTGTTTGGATGTGAATTTATTTACATGGAGGCCTTATAAAGGCATAAACGTCACATTTTGTGACACATTTAACAAAATGTATTGACTAAAATAAAGCTGGAATTGTCCCAGAAAACTCAAAACACCTAGCACACTAGACGCTCTTACAGCAGTCCTGTGGCAGCAGGTCAGAACCCAAAATCTTCAGTGTGCCTCAGGAGCATCCAAGCCCAGTCGTGCCAGTGAGTCTGCAAGCCTCAGTCCATCTGAACTGCATCTAGTTCATCCAAGAACCGCCGGCACTTGCCCATCAGTACCTTGATGGCTTCGCTCACCAGCACATCAGGTGGCAATACCCCTGTTGACTCGACAGAGACTGGGAACCAAAACAGACAGTTTAGCCTAGACTGCTTGCTAGATTTTACATCTGAACCCTGCAAGGAAGTTATAGCACCAAAGAGCTGACCCCGACCACTCCCTGCAAACTGGATACTCACAGATATAATGGTCCCGAACCCGAGCCAGCCGTACAACCTTCTTCAGCTTCTCATTCCGGAAGACTTCCCTGCTGAAGGTATCTAGCCGGGGATTGGCAACCCTGGCCACCTTTTTACCTAATGGAAACAAACCATGTTATCAACACATGAGCCCAAAGCTTTCATTCTCTCTGCTACTTTCAAAGAAAATACACCTTACGCCCGGCCTGAACAGCACCCCAAGTACCATATACCTTGGACTTCATGCACCTCGATAACACCAGGTGAGAAGCAGCGGCTCAGCTCTTCAGCTGCCTCCCCTTCCACGGGCTCCAACAGTGTGATGTCCGGCAGGAGCCTGTAACTGGCTGTTGCCACAGGTGAAAACTTGGCATGATCTTTACCTAGAAGGAAATCAGAGCCTGTGGGAAAACCCTTCCTGACATCCCCAAACGCCTGTCAGTGACATCTTAGCTGAGTCCCTCAGCCACACCTCACCCCACTGTATTCAAACTGCCTTCCTCCCCAGGGCAGCTCAGGGGGTTCTCACCAATGCCCTTGACACAGTGCATGAGTAGGTCAATCTCCTGGCCAGGCCGCAGCTGAGCAATGAGGATGTCATCATGCACTGGTCGGATGGTGCCCTCCGGGAAGAGGTCAGCCTGGTTCCCCAGGGGAACCCATGTCATGTGCCTGGTGTACACTGGAAGAAGCAGCACATCAAAAGACCTCAGTCCCTAAAATTAGCACCCGACAGGTAGGCCCTGTCACACTACCAACACTCACCTTTGTGGTTCACATAGAGTTCATTGGGGTCAGAGGAATCTTTAGCAGCGTGGGGGTTCCGAGTACACCTGACCTGCAGCCGAAACTGCAGAGTGTCTATTTCTGTGCCTTCTTCATCTCCTGCACAAAGAAAGGAGGTGGCAGCTCTCGAAGGACTAGTGCACATCTGAGTGCCAGGCACCATACTGAGTGCATTACATTTCTCATTTAATCCTCTTAAAACAAATTCATTAAACTAAAGGCAAGTGTTCTCACAGATAACACTAATGTACCCAAAGATTAGTAACTTGCCTAAGGTTATACAGTATAGTCCATCCAGGATTTGAACACAGGTAGTCTGATTTCAGAATCTACTCTGCAGAAAAGAGCTACTCCCCTTCTCCCAAAATTTCATTTTCTCAAGTCCTCACCTTGGTTCCGATATTCAAAAAGACGGGGATCAGCATGAATGGGAATGAGCCCCAAGCGATGAGCGAGGATCTCATCCTGGACAATGGATGTGTTGTTGTACACCAGGACCTTTTCCACAGCCATGGTTGGCACCTGCCCAACAAAACAATCATCTACCAAGACATAAACTCCCTGCAGCTGACACAGGGAAAGACCTCTTCCTGTAAGAATGCTTGATGAAAAATTTACAAATGAGCAGAACTGCTCAGCAAACTTTCAGGAAAAATAAACCTTGAGACAATTCTACAAGTGAGGTAATGGCAAGGTTTCCCCACGCAACTCACCCCTGCCACCATGCCCCCAGTACCTCAGCTAACAGAATACGCCGAAAAGCATTGGCAATGGCTGCATCAATTCCCACCATGTCAAACTCCAATGTATTTTCATCCATGTGTACCACATCCACTCGGAAATTCTAAAAAAAAAAGGAAAAACACTAAATGAAGCTTGCTCTCTGTATAGTCAATTACCTTCCCCATGGGTATTCCCCTTAAACTATTAACATTCTTTTTCATCCAAAAACCTCTTTGCTCAGATGTCCCTCATTATATGTTCCTTTCTCCATCATTTTTGTAACTATATATTTTTATTGATTTCAGAGAGGAAGGGAGAGGGAGGGCGAGAGAAATATCAATGATGAGAATCATTGATTGGCTGCCTCCTGCATGCCCCCCTGCCCCCACTGGGGATTGAGCCCACAACCCAGGTATGTGCCCTTGACCAGATGTGAACCCGGGACCCTTCAGTCCACAGGCCGACACTCCATCCACTGAGCCAAACTGGCTAGGGCTCTCCCCTAATTCTTTATTCATTCTTTTTGCAATGTGTTTTTTTTTTGGTCCAAAATCTTAGTGAGAACTTTTTTTTTTAATTTATTGGGGTGATGGGCTCATAAGATCATACAGGTTTTGAGTGTACACGCTTGGATACATGATCTGTATATTGCATTGTCTACCCACCACCCAAAGTCAAATCATCTTCCATCACCATATTTGACCCCTTTACCCTTTACTATCCTCTCACCGCACCCCTCCGCCCCCCCCCCCCAAAAGTGTGTGCTTTTTTTGTTATTTTTTAAAAAAATATATTTTATTGATTTATTTTTCTTGTTTGTTCAATTGTTGCTTTCCATCAGAGAGGGAGAGAAACATGAATGATGAGAAGAAATCACTGATCAGCTGCCTCCTGCACGCCCCCTACAGGGGAGCCAGTCCACAACCCTGACATGTCCTGACCAGGAATTGAACCACAACCTCCTGGATCACAGGCCAATGCTCAACCACTGAGCCATACCAGCCGGGCTGTACCACATCTTTATCCAATCGTCTATCAAAGGACACCAGTTGTTTCTGTGTGTCTCTGCATTATGGCTTCTAGCCAGACCATGCAGAGGGACTACTCTAGAAAACATGCTTCCATACTGCTTAGTCCAGTTGACACTAAACCCCTATCTTGTTAGCCTTTTCTGTTGTATTTAGCACTGCTTTTTCAAACTAGTGCCTTGATTTCTGAGCACCAATCTTTTGGTTTTCTTCCTTCTCTGATGAATCCTAAATTCACTATCTTCCACCTACTCTGTAAACATTATCCCAAGTTTCCCCTTCAGAGTGACCTCAACCGCACTCAGTCTTAGCAAATATCTGTACTGACAACTCCCAAAATATCTCACTTCACATCTCAATTCAAACATATATTCTACTAGCCTGGTAGACTTCTCTACTTGCAGGAAACTGAATGCATCACCAGTCCCCCAATCTATTTCTCATCAATGAATGACATCCGCATTCATCAAAGAGTTCCCCAAGCTAGATCACTTTACACTCCCCCTTTACAACCCATGTCAATGCAATCACCAAACATACTTTCTATCTACCCTTTGCTCTGTCACCTACAGTCCCTAAGACACATTTCAATCTTGCCCACCACTGATGACCATCCATTTTATACTTCTTAAAAAAACATTTTACTGATTTTTAGAGAGAGAGGAATGGAGAGAGATAGAAACATCCGTGAGAGAGACACATCAATAGGCTGCCACCTGCACGCTCCCTACTGGGGATGAGGCTGCAACCAAGGCATGTGCCCTGACCTGGAATAGAACGGTGACCTTTTGGTTCATGGGCCCACGCTCAACCACTGAGGCACAGCCGCCAGACCATCCACATTATATTCTAGCAATAATGAACTGCGTGGGCATTCCCACAGCACGGCTCACACAGCCCTTATAATTTAGCTCCTCAGTTTCTCCTCACCCTTCGCTGTTCTCAGATTCTGCTCATTGTTCTAGGCTCAAGCAGATGTCATCTCTTTAACGAAATCTTTCGTTCCTCTATCCCAGTGGTTCTCAACCTTGGCTGCACATTAGAATCACCTGGGAATCTTTTTAAAATCTTGATTTCTGGGCCTAATCCTCTGGAAATTCTGTTTCTTTGTTATGGGGTGAGGCCACAACATTAGTAACAAAGAAACAGAATTTCCGGAGGATGAAGCCCAGAAATCAGGATTTTAAAAAGATTCCCAGGTGATTCTAATGTGCAGCTAGGGTTGAGAACCACTGCTCTACCCTCCCTTCCATTCTAGATTAAGCGCTTCTGCGGGACGGGATACCCCTACCCCACTCCATCCCCCGTCGTCCTCACTGCTAAGAACCGCGTTTTCCACATTATACTGAAATCATTTGTTGATGCGCGCTCTTCTCCAACAAGACTGAACATCTTGCTCGCAGAACAGGGTGGAAGCCATGTGTGCACGGAGCGCCTAGCACATGGCTCAATAAACGTTTCATGAACCGAGTCAAACCCCAGGGACAGCTTCCGAGGCACAGGCTGCTCAGACCACCAGGTCCGACCTCACACTCTCTCCGACATGGCCAGCTCCACCCACCTTCTCGAAGCGGTCCTGGTCCCAGGCATCATCGTAGCCCGAATAGTTCCCGGGAAAGTCGGTGGTATGAACCTAAAAGAGAGAGAGACGCATCTGTCCGCGAAGGGGCAGCCAGGTTAAGCCCGTCCCCACTCCCGTCCCTCTCTCATTTTCTCCTCCCGATTCCAAGGCAACAGGGCTTACATTGCGAACGCCGAACTCCCCCAGCACCACGCGGCTCCGCATCTCCTCCACCGCCTGGGCCGCCGCCATCTTCGCCCCCTCCACGTGATTCAGGTTGCAACTGGCGCGTACGTTCCAGTCGCCCTCCTCCGTCTCCGAGGCAACGCGTCACCGCCTGGAAGATTAAATATCGCGAGACTCTGCCCTCTGTCCACGTCCCCAACTTCCGGAAGTCAGTTTGAGCCAAACATCCGGGTTTCTTTTTTTTCTTTTTCTTTCTTTTTTTTTTTTTTGCGGTCCGGTTCATCCCACCTCTCTCCCCCTGTACCTTTCCTCCTCTCAGACCCACGTCTCTCCTGCTCGTCCTCCGCGCGCGGGAGCAGCGCGGGCTTCAGCGGCGGGAGCCCTCGAGGGACATGGCAACTACGGCGACGCCGGCCGGCGGCTCCCGCAATGGGACTGGCCCGGAATGGGGAGGGTTCGAAGAAAACATCCAGGTAATGGCCTCAAGGCTCCGGCTGCCAGCAGCCCTACGGACGGCGGTGGTCAGAAGTGTCGGAGGGACTCTCCCCGGGCCCTAGAAGTCTGCTCCGTTTGCAGCACTTTCCCTCTCCTTTGGGTCTCGGGGCACCCGACCGTCAGGGGCACTGGTGCTGGCCCGAAAGGGCCGGACGTGTACTCGGGCCGGAGGGCCTCGGGCCCCACCCGCCTTCTTTCGGGACAAGTTAGGAGATCGGTCGGGGCCAGGGGGAGTATTGCACTAGCTGAAACCATACTGTGTGCACGGGCTTGTTCGGGGTTGGGAAAGACAAAGGAAGTGGGCGCTTTTGCAGTCCTTTGGTCTTTGATAGGGAAGGTAGGAGAAAGACATCTTATGGGAGACAGGGAGTAGTCAGTTTCTCCGGCCAGAAAAGAGAGAAGAGAACCAAAGTTCCGAGAGCCAAGGAGTGGACGAGAATGCATGGTCTATGGTGATTCCAGGTCATGTCCCAGTTGTGGGAGAACAAAGCCCCAAGCCCTGGGGTGACAGAATGGATGGGGCAGAAAGGTCCTGCGCTCTAGGAGCTCACTGTCTTCACAGGGTGGGGGCTCAGCTGTGATTGACATGGAGAACATGGACGATACCTCAGGCTCCAGCTTCGAGGATATGGGTGAGCTGCACCAGCGCCTGCGTGAGGAAGAAGTAGATGCTGATGCCGCGGCTGCTGAAGAAGAGGATGGGGAATTCCTGGGCATGAAGGGCTTTAAGGGACAGTTGAGCCGGCAGGTGGCTGACCAGGTAAGCAAGACGATCCCTGGCAGGTGGGAAAGTGCACCTAGGCGGCCCCAGGTTCTGGCGTAGAACCATGTAGAAATCCAACAGAAAAGACGAAGAGGGCATAGAGCCAGCAGTCTGACAACACCCATCCACCTCCCTTCAGATGTGGCAGGCAGGGAAGAGACAAGCCTCGAGGGCCTTCAGCTTGTATGCCAACATCGACATCCTGAGACCCTACTTCGATGTGGAGCCTGCCCAGGTGCGAAGCAGGTGAGGATCCTTCTCCTGCGGACGCTGCCCTTCTCACATCTAAACTATAGCCGGAGACCAAGCCCTTAAGCCCCCCTCTTCTTGACACCACCAGCCCTCATCATTACATCTGTATTCCAGCTACACCATTCCTCTTACCAGTCCCAGAACAGGACGTGGTGTTACCCCACCACCTTCCTCTTTCCATCTAGGAAACCACTCATCTTCCCTCAAAACCGAGCTCAAATGTTGCCTCCTTTGTTTCTCATTCCTCAGCCCTGTGCCCAGTTTGTTCTTTCCTGGTGCTCTCATGGAGGTCTGTGCTTTCCTCTAACAGATGACACTTACCAAGCATGTCAAACTCACGGCAGGCAGGCCGTGTGCCTCATTTATTTAAGCAGTGCTATGCTTTCTTATTCTTGGGTCTGTCTCCCCAGAGACCTCCTCAAAAGCAGGCTCTGTTTTGCTTATCATTTTATTCCCAACACCAGAACAGTCTCTGCACCAGAATATCAGTACATAGTTGTTAATGACTTTTCATGAACTGGAATTAATCTTGGCTTGGTTCTTTGTTGATCCTTCAATTTAACCAGTACTTAAGCAAATACCCAGTACACTCAGCAAGTACTTACTAAGCTTTTTCTCTGCATACTCTACTAGTTGTGTCTGAGTTAGTGGGGAAGACAAATGGGAGCCTTGCCCGTGAGTGCAGTTATAGTACAGCACTCGTTTGCTATGAAGGGACACATGGGGGACACCCGACCCAGAGTAGGCTAAAGGGGGGACAGGGTGGGTTTCCCAGAGGGGGTAAAATCTAGTCAAATTCCAAGGTATTATTAGGAGCTAGCCACTTAAGCAGAGAATGGGGACTTGTATTCCTTCTGCCTGGAATTTTCATACCGCTTCAAATACATTTCAAGAAAATACTCAGCAGTGCCTGGAGGAGTGACAATCAGGAGGGAGGCAGGGGGCACACTGGTTCCCTCAAGTACCACCTTCAAAACCTTTCCCGGGGCTTCGCCATCACAGTTCGGAAATCTGGGCATTCTCTGAGGTTTGCCTTTTAAAGGAGAGCAGTTCAAATAGGTAAATTGTCAAACCCTCTCCCACACCCAGCGGGGCTCCCTGGTTCTCCATTTTGCTGCTGCATCAGTCAGCACAGCATCAAAGGTGGTCCTTCCTGGAAGCATTTTTCGGGCAACAAAGTGACTTCCTCATTCCCTGTCTGTCTTTACTGCCCTCTTCTCCCTTTACCGTCTCTAGCATGTTCTCTGGAGTTAGAGAGATGAATAAGGTTCAGGCCCTCCAGAACCTCATAAGTGCTGCCTCTGCTCTCATCTCTCCTCTCCCAGGCTCCTGGAGTCCATGATCCCCATCAAGATGGTCAACTTCCCCCAGGTGAATAGAGGGTGGCATGACTGGGAGAGCCAGGGGAGGCGCTAGGGCAGAGGGAGGGGTCACCAGGCAAAACCTAGGAAGGAACAGACAGAAGAGCCATTGTACCCTCCAGCCTGAATGAGTTGGTATATTGACAGAAAATCGCTGGTGAGCTCTATGGACCTCTCATGCTGGTCTTCACACTGGTTGCCATTCTCCTCCACGGGATGAAGACATCGGACACCATTATCGTAAGCAGGACAGAGGACCTTGGGGGGTGGCTGAGTTGAAAGCTGCCCAAGGAGAAAATGTTGGAGTGAGAAGCAGCCCTGAGGATAGCCCTGGGTAAGGTGGAGACCAGAGGCCTCCCAGGATTAAGTAGAGCCTTCACCCCACAGCGGGAGGGCACCCTGATGGGCACAGCCATTGGCACCTGCTTTGGCTACTGGCTGGGTGTCTCATCCTTCATCTACTTCCTCGCCTACCTGTGCAACGCCCAGATCACCATGCTCCAGATGCTGGCACTGCTGGTAAGGAGTCCAGCATGGTGGTGGGCAAGGGTGACCTTATAACAGTAGCCGGGCCCTGGTCTGCATCTGTCCTGGGGCTCCAGGGCCTGGAATGGGAGAAGCTGGCCGTGGACCATTTACTTCCCAGGGTCCCCATGCGGGTCCAGAGGCCAGCCAACCTGAGGTTTTCCTCTCCGCCATCCCTCCTAGGGCTACGGCCTCTTTGGGCACTGCATTGTCCTGCTCATCACCTACAACATCCACCTCCACGCCCTCTTCTACCTCTTCTGGCTGCTGGTGGGGGGGCTGTCCACCCTGCGTATGGTAAGCCGGGCAGGAGATTTCCAGAGGGGTGGGCTGTCCTCCCGGGGAGCTGGGGAAAGGCCAGAACTTGGGCCGAACCTCATAAAAGGCTCTCAGTGGGGGAGAAGAGCCCAAAGATGGTTCTGATCTGGGGAGGAGTATCTTCTCCACTCTGCTCACTGGGGCCAGGCCCTCTAAGCCAGCAGCCGCCAGCCTTTCGGACCTACGGACCACCAGTGGTCCACGGACCATGGGTTGGCGACCGCTGCTCTAAGCTGTATTCCTGTGGCCCTAGGTGGCAGTGCTGGTGTCACGGACTGTGGGCCCCACCCAGCGGCTGCTCCTCTGTGGCACCCTCGCTGCCCTACACATGCTCTTCCTGCTCTATCTGCACTTTGCCTACCACAAGGTGGTAGAGGGTAAGTGACAGGAGGCCAGGGTGTGGCGGGAGGGAAGCACAGCTGCCTAGGGCAGGATCCAGCCAGCTCTTGCTCACCTTCCGTCCTCCTCCTCCTCCTCCCAGGGATCCTAGACACACTGGAGGGCCCCAACATCCCACCCATGCAGAGGGTCCCCAGAGACATCCCTGCTGTACTCCCTGCTGTGAGGCTTCCAGCCACCGTGCTCAACACTACAGTCAAGGCCATCGAGGTGACCCTGCGGTCACACTGACCCACCTGAGACCCTTGGCCAGCCCCCTGTAACCCTGCTGCAGAGCGGAGGAAGATTCAAGGACAGAACTGAAGACACGTCTCTGTTGGGCTGCAGCTGCCAGAGAGCCGCTTAAGCACCTCCTTTGGCGCCTGCTGGGGCTTCTGAAGAGGACGAGGCCAGGAACTCTGACCAGGACTGCAGGGCTCTGCAGCCAGTGCAGAAAGTGGGTCAGCGCCTCTGAGGCCTCTCACTACCCACCCCTTCCTTCCTCTTTATTTCTCCCACATTGTCTTGTTAAATATAGACTCGGTAATTAAAATACTGATTGAAGTCTGGGACTGCAGCTGCCCTTCCAGTGGTCCTCCCTGCCACCCTGCTTCCTGTGCTCTCTGCTGTCCTGTCAGTGGTGGTGATGTCATAGGTTCCCTTACGTATACCCTCAGGATGGAAGGTGGGACAGTCAGGAGGAAGGTAGGACAGCCCAGGCTACCCTGAAGCCAGTGGTTGAATATGGCACCTGTCCCTGGGTGCAGAGGACACCTGACCCACGGAGCCGCAGGGAGGCCTCAAACACAAGAACCATAAGTCTGGTGGAGCGGTGCACCAGCTTGAGTCGGGGACACCAGTGGAGCAATGACAATCGGACAAAAACTTCCAGGCTCAACCCCATGTCATTATAAGACCCTTACACACCTGGGCCATTGTGTGGGAATCATTTTCCTGTCTCAGCTCATTTGAAGCCAAACTTGGCTTTGCCTGGGTTATCTTGGAGCCAGAGGAACAAACTCTTCAGGAGTTCTGTCCTTCCTCTTCAAGAGTGCCGGTTGCTCTTA